GTAGAATAGCATCTCCGAAAATCCCGCAACGACGAAACTAAGGCTGTCCGCACGGGTTGAGACTCAACCAAATGACATGAGAGGCAGTTCACCATCAGATATCTGCGAGCCCAAGTCTTGTGCAAGCTCTCGCCAAGCCGACGCATCCAACTCCTTGGGTAGTCGGAAGGACGCCCGAGCGGCGTCCGCACATGCAGGTCGTCCACACAGTCTCGCAAGGCCCTCGAGGAGTGGAGCGGGAGCATCGATTACATCGAATGAGACTTTCGAAAAACCCTGGTGAACGCAACATCGTGCATACTGCGAGCGCTCGACAATGGTCCGCGGAGAGCGAAGGAATCAGCTGATTATCGCGCGGGACGTGAGCGGCGATCTCAAACCACAATTCGAGGGCGACCGAGTCGGAAAAGAATTACTGAGATCGGAAAGGATCCATAAACAATGCGCAGTGGCCGTTGGCGCGGCTTGAGAACCGTCCGCGCTATGAGATTCGCGCCGTGTTCACGGTCTACTCAGTCTCACGGTCAATTTTCGGCTTCAAGTGCCTGATATCCTTTTAGTTTGTACGGCGATCGAAACAGGAGAAGTGTCCCAATTTCTATCCTTGTCTCTGCCGGGGATTTGAAAGAGGGACGTAAGACTAGGCACCGTTCAGAGAAAGGCTCAGTCGCACCCACGTTCAATGAATCGGAGAATTCGAACCCGTCAATCGTGGTATTTGGTCTCGGTCCACGCCGGAGAATTCTAACGAGGGGTTAAATCAGGTTAAGAAACGGTTGAGGAGGTTCCGAGTCAGTAACAGTAGTTGGTGTCGTTAACAATTCCGAGTCGAGTTCCCGGTTGTTTCCGGGCTGGATTGATCTGCACCAGTGCCAAGGAGAAAATTGGATCGTAAGGAGCTTACTCGAACGCTGGCGCCCGCTGACATAACGCGAGTCTTGAAATTCAAGGTGGTCCCCGGGGTCGGGTTTTAACTTGGGGCGTTCTTTTTTTTCGCTGGTAAGAAAAGAAAAATCAGGATTCAAGGGACGTACCAAGTCAAAGAGGAAGGCTTGGTACCGCTGGCGCACACCCACGTTCAATTCGAGAATGGTAGTCCGTAAAGTGGTCCTCGTTCGATCCGGGGCTGGGCCGTGGAGTGACATGTGTTCTTTTGTGTTTCAGTCCGAGTCATTCAGAGAAAAACTGGAGTATGAGCGCAAATGCATCGGCAGCCGACAAAGATAGGGTGACCTTGATAAAATGGGTAAGGTCCGACAATACTTATGGCGCGAAAAGAGTTTTTGTCTTGAAGGAGAGATTGGAGTGTGATCAAGTTGATAAAAGGACGAGAAAGACCCGTGAGTATCCACGTCCAAGGCTGGGCTATACATGCTTTGTCGTTCCTAACTTCTTGGCAGCCAAGGACAACACAGCGGGATATAAGAAAGCAGGAGAAGTGACATTCGTCCGATGGCGAGTCAGATTTGGCCACCTTCTTTCTTGATGTCTTTGAGCGATCGACAACGAGGGACAAAACTTAGCAGGTCCACAAATTCAAGCAGGGAGAGATTTGCGGGTGCATGTAGATCTATGCAAATGCGATGAATAAGATCCAGAAATTCTGAATGAGACTTGATTCTGGTTGAACGAGGAATTCAGAGCTGGATAGAGTGGCACTGGTCACAGCTGGTCACGGCACTCAGGCTGGCGAGAAGACCGATCCGAACCACTGCCTGTCAGGAATACCTACCACAAAGGCACCAGAAACGAGTTTGGTGGGTAATTCTGGTGTCTTTCTTTGATAGTCAAGGAATTTAAACGCTGGAAGACGAAAGCAAAAGGAGAGGAGAGTCAGGAGACATTGCCGAGAGGACGGCGCAGCCAAACAGGACCATCGCTGGTTGACTTCGTCTTTCGTACATCCTGGGGCGGCGCACTGGCAGGTTTTCCAACTCTTCTGCACATCCATGGACACGCTAGAGGAGCTTCGGGCACACATCAAAGCATCTGGGGTTGAATCCCCCGTATCCCACGCCCGCATTTCCGGTTCATCTCCCATCCACCCGCCCAAAAATGAATTTCTTACTCACGACCTAGCGTACATAGAATCCGAAGTTCTGAACCACCCGAACGCCCTCTTTAAGCGCCACGTCCCGCCGCTCGATATCATCCTCTATGCCATTCGGCGGGTGCTCGCCGCGGATGCTGAGGCGCAGGTGATCCCGGATTTACTGGATTTGGCGACGACGGTGGAATTTTTTCGGACGCGGGCGCTCCAAAATGGGCGCGAGGCACTGGTGCAGTACGGCAGGCACTCGGACACGCAGAGGACACTGAGCAGGGAGGACGAAAAGCGGCTGCGTAAGTACCAGGACGGCAGTGCAGATATACGCGCGGTATACATCGAGCTCCTACTGCAGTATTGTCAACTCGTGCGCCTTGTTTTCATTACAATTTATTACATCGCTGAACGTTTATCTATGTACAGGACATCTACCGCCTCTGGACGTGCGACCCGCCACGCCCGGCAGATGTCACCCTGCGCCTTTGTGAATATTTCCCCGCGCTGAACCCGCTCTACACCGCCACGTCCCCGCGCCTCTTCCACTACGATCTAGCCGATGCGGAGCGCGCTCTGCTGCGCAAGCGGGGCTTGGACTGTTGTCTTTTTGTGCGTGACTCGTGTAGATGGGCGGTGGAAAGGTCTACGCCTGAGTGCGTTGCTTTCCTCTTTCTTATTCTATTTAATCCTCTTTCCCCTTTGCTTCTCGCTTTACACCTGCTCGCATGCCCATTCTTCTCCTTTTTTCGTTGAAGCGAACTCGCACTAATCAACCTAACATCGAACGCAGCGACCCTCTCGCCTCCGTCTTCCGCACCCCTGCCTTCGCCGCGTGCTTCCCGTGCACGGTAAGCGCTGCCAGCCTGCGCGACATGATGGAGTTCTACATGGGTACGGTGCAGGCGATGGTCGACGAGCTGCAGGGGATGTTGACGATGAGGCCTGAGGCCGGGGACGTGTGAGTGTCGCGATTGGTGTGCGATATTGGCTTTTTTCTTGCTTGCACATACTGTATCCATAGGTTCATATACGCACTATTCTTCGGTTTTGGTTCCTCTTGGGGGTGTAATGGTTTGGCGAGATTTTCCAGGTGTGTGGGAAAATGCTGAACGAATTGCTGTGCGACAAAAGAACCAACTTTCTGTAAAGCCAGAAAAATCAAACAATTCAACCAAAGCCTGACTCCAGATCGAACAGGTCCACAATTACTGGCTGAAAATGTGTTCAGCGCCACTGGCCTTGCCTTGCCTTGCCATTCCATCAACTCAACTATCCTCTCATCTCTCAAAGTCCTTGGCCTAAAAAATACTGGAAACAAAGCAATGCCTCGAACCGAACGGGATCTCACTTTGCGCAATGGCGCGATGTTCCTATGGGTCGTGGGTACGCGTCAACGCCACCGAACCTTATACCTCATTTTGTGAACGCTGCTTGCGCCGCCTTGTGTTTGATTTTGGCAGAACTTAAGCATCGGTTGACCTACTTGTGAGTCCACAAAATGAAGCAAACATCATTTCCGTACCGCCATGAAATAAATATTCATAATGGTGGTAAAAAGGTAGTACAGTGCACAAGTCCTCGGCGCTCGCAGTCATATCCCGCCTGCAGCACATTCGCAATCCCCTGTGCCATGGGATCGAAAAGAGTTCCGGAGCTGCCGGGTGGGTACATAGTTGAGAGTGATACTCCACACGGGGAATGGCAACAGAACTTAGGAGGCAGTAGGTCAGGCCCGAGGGGGCGCGCCATGGCGCGCCATGGTGGGACATTGGGGTAGCCATGTGGTGCGATGAAAGCACGCGTCAAAGACGTCGGCGGCGGCGCGGAACATGAGCTCCCGTGATTGAATGGCCTCGGCGTCGGGCGCACTCCGATACGCGGTGGATGCCAGGATGGTACGGGTGGTGGTGGTAGTTGTGCGCGCCTCGGGGTGGGTGATTCTGATAACGGCCATTTTTGATGGTGAATGGTTTGAGTTCTTGTTGTGAATGGGCCGAAATGCGCCCGTTCTTATAGAGGAGGGCGGAAGCAATCGAATGCGGAGCGGGAGGGATGCGGGAAGGGGTCTCACTTCGGGTGCTACGGGCATCTCGGTCGACGCGTCTCAACAGCGTATCCCTCAGACCAGGGCTTTAGAGAGGTGGAGTCATAGAATCTGGGCCTACGAGCATGGAAGCATTTTCGCCGATGGGCGGTCGGACGCCTGAGGGAACAGGAGAACTCACGGTGAGGTGGAACTGTGCTGTGCCAGGTCTCACTTTCGCGGAACCCCTGTCTCACCGTGAGTTACGAGCCCAGGCCTTGATACTGAGCGAAAGGCCTCACGGGAAAAAGCACGCCGGATTGATGAAATTTCAGCCACCGCTGCTTTGGTTCGAATGTTAAGAAAACCCGATTCCGGTAGTGCAGAGGCCCCACCGACTTTAATTGACGGAATTGTGTTCCTAGTATGTTGGGGTAGCAGCTCCAATTTTCAAGTCCCTGAACTCGGAATGCCTGATGTGTGGGGTCACGGTTCTTCTTCAAAATTTTGCAAATATCTGAATGCTGGCGTGGATAAAGGAAATACACAAAGGTCACCAGGCTTCTTAGTAAAGAAGGTCACCCGCATGTTAGACGATCGGAGGTGAGAGGGAAGGCTCTGCAGCGGGGGTTACACGTCTGTGACGCACAATAAAGGATTTGGGACCTGTTCCAAGCAGAATCGCTCGTTCGAATCGAGCCTGAGCCATTGTGGGAGATTCACATGCATTTTTTGGTTGTTTTACTTCAACACCCTGGGTGCCATATAATTAGTAGTGAAAACATGAGTACCCGGGATTCGAAATTCTTTTGACGCTTGGTTACATCTCCCGGTTCATATTCAATCTCCTGTGGGTTCAACCACATACCGTCCGTGTTAATCTTCCACCTCGAAATCCCACCCACACATTCTGAACCCGGAGAGAGGTAGGAGGGCTCGGTGGCGGGTGGTCCGCATCTGCGCTGTGTTGCCAAGGACAGAGCAAAATGAGTTCAAGCAGAAGTCGCTCGTTCGAATCGAGCCCGAGCCATTCATCGAGACTAATTTGGATCTTTTTTTCGTGGGTATCTCATTTCAGCACTGTCAGTACGTGCGCTGTTTGTGTCCAAGATCTGAGTACACGTTTTTAATATTCGTATAATTTAGTGTGGTCAATACAGTAATAGACCCGCCTTGTCATTTTGCACTCGTCGGCTCGAATATCGCGACCCAGCCATCCATGGTCCCCACGCCCTTCATCCCGCCCGCTCGCGCTAAATTGGCTTCCACGGCATCCCGCATGGCATACACCATGCCCTTCTCCCGCTCATCCTTGACAAACTCCTCCACCTCCTCCTTAAACTGCGCCCGCACCGCATGCTCCGTCTCCCACCGCCCATCGTACACCGCCGCGCCCGGCACGACGCGCGCCTCCTGCACCAGCCCGAGCCCCGCCGACGCCGCGAGCGCCTTGATCGCTGCGGGGGAGACGACGGTGCGCACGTTGCTCGCCGACGCGGGCTTGCGGCACTCGAGCGCGCCCTGCGCGAGCACCGCCAGGACGTGCGTCAGCGCGCTCGACCCGGGCGTGCACTCCAAACTCCACTCCGCGACGCAGATGCGCGGCGTGCGGGCGGCGAGCGCGTGCAGCGTCTCGGCGATGAGCGCGGGCGTGGCGAAGTACCACAGGCTGTGCGCGAGGACGACTGCGTCCCAGCGCGCGGCGGGGTGCGCGGCGAGGAACGCGAGCGGCTCGCTCTGCACCCACGCAATGCGGGCACCGAAGGGGCCGGCGGAGATGGTGTCGTGCGCTTGCCCAAGCGTCTTTGGGGAGCCTGTTCGCAGGATCGAATTAAAGGACGATGGGTGTGGTCAAGGGAACACACACCGTAATCAAGGGGCCCTGGGTCGACGGCGTCGACGTGCCCGTCGGGACCGACTGCCTCGGCGAGCGCGAGGGTCGTGTCGCCCTGCCCGCACCCGAGCTCGAGCACGCGTGCACCAGGTGAGATCGACCAGTGTGCGACGAGGTCGAGGCGGTACTGCGCCTGCGCGACGCTTGATGTGGGCCCGTAGCCTGAGAGGCTTGCGATTTTTTCTGCGACTGTGGTGTGGGTAGTCATTGTTGGATAGATACTGCCCAGAAGAAGGGCGGAATAAGTACTCGTGCGTGAGTCAGACAGGAGTCAAGTGCTTCTCTCCTCGATTCGCGGACGGAGCAACTCGGTGTATCGCGGCGCGTGTCGGCCCAAGTACGCTGATATTCGTTGTCAGGCATGTCAGGGTTCGGTGTAAATTGTGACCGCACAGTCGGCACCTGTCCGTGTTTCATGTCCTCCACCTTGCATCCCCGTCCTCACCCGACGCATTCTCCTCCCTCGTCGTTCTCCCATTGGCACAGTGAAAGCGGCGCTCGGGCATCAGTGGCAAAAGATGATCGATGATCACGGCATCTGCCGATCCGGCCCAACTGCGGCCCAAGGATTTGGGTTGAACCAAAGTTGAACGCGGCCTAGCTTGCTTATGAGGTCGCATCGAACAATCGAATCCCTCGTTTACGCGAGCTTGAATGGAAATAAACCGTTCACTTTTTTTCCCTCGAAGACTTGTGTTCTTCAAGTTCGAAAGACGAGGGTATAAGCAGGTTCTACAAGGAGTAGAGAAGCTCAGTAGCACAGGGGCGCGTTCACGTCCAATGAGCCATACGAATATGGTTTCGCATTGCATTCCCCGTTCGATTAGGGCTTGGGTAATAACTTGATGCCATCTTTTTGGGATTGAAGGAGAGTTTTTATCTATTATTTACTAGACGCATTTATATTTGACACGCCTGCTATATATCGGAGCGATATTGCTTTCTTTGAAATTCTTACATAAATGTAAATGTATACGACACGCATGTAGATTACTGGCATATAACTTGTATCAACCGAATGACGTGGAGGATGCATGGAGGGTGCGTGTCCACTGAGATAGTATTTGGAAGATCGGACACGTCGGAAGTGTCTAGACCTAAATAGTCGGCCTGCTTTACTCTTCACCTCCACCGTGACGGCCTTTCTTTTACAATGTTCATCATCAACTGGTTCTGGGATGTCCTCGCCCAACTTGGTAGCTATTGCTCACCTGTATCCTCGCCGACCCTTGAATTCCTTCCAGGGCTTATGCACAAGAATGGCAAAATTCTCTTCCTTGGTCTAGATAATGCTGGCAAAACGGTGTGTGCCCTGCTCTCGTCTTTGGTTCGGCCGTTGAACTGTCGCCAGACCCTCTTGCACATGCTCAAAAACGACAGGCTCGCTACTCTGCCGCCCACCGTCCACCCCAGTACGTCCTGCGTTTACCCCGGATGGGCTATTCTCACTCCAATACAGCATTGGAGGAATTTGCTATTGGCAATGTTAAATTCACGACCCATGATCTCGGTGGACACCAACAGGGTGCGTGGTTTCTTGCACTCGTCACTCGGTGTCTCACCGTTTCTTGTCCAGCGCGGCGCCTCTGGCGTGACTATTTCCCTGAAGTGGACGCCATCATCTTCCTTGTGGATAGTGCCGATTTTGAGCGGTTCTCCGAGTCCAAGGCCGAGCTCGACGCTCTCCTCGCGATTGAGCAGCTGGCGAAGGTCCCCTTCCTGATTCTTGGAAACAAGATTGACGCCCCTGGAGCGGTCAGTGAGGAGGAGCTGAGGCACCACCTGGGCCTGTACCAGACGACCGGGAAGGTGAGTTACAGTTCTCGTTGACCCGTTTAACTCATGATGCGACTCTAGGGGAAAATCCCTCTCACCGATATTCGGCCCATTGAGATCTTCATGTGCTCAGTCGTCCAGAGGCAGGGGTACGGAGAAGGCTTCCGATGGGTGTCGCAATACGTCCGTCATTTTCATTGCTAGCATCGTCTTACTCAATTATTTTCCGACAGATTTAAACCAAGCAGGTTATAGATACTTTTTGCTCGGGCGGAGGGGTGGATACGGAGGTTTCTCATCGACTTATATCTTGCATTCGGTAGTTCGCTTTTTGTGTAAGGCTTGCTATTGAGCTCGTCTACATATGTCTTCAATTTGATGAATTTCTGTACTTTATTTTTTTTGTTGATTTGCACTCTCATGACAAGTCGATCATGCCCACTCTTCCTTCCTTCCACCATGTTCTGGTGCTCTCCATAGTCATCCGGGTCGGCCTCATCGTCTATAGCGAGTGACACGACGCCCATTCAGTCGTGAAATACACGGATACAGTATAGTGCCGCCCACTACTCGTTGCTTCGCAGCTGCCGACCGGAGAGCCGGATGTGCTGTACCACCTCTCGTATTGTACCTGGCCCGGGTGGTACGCTGCGAGCGGGGAGGCGAAGCGGACAGAAGCGGTATTTTGGCGGTAATCAGCGTTTTGCACGCTTCTTCGGATAGCTGTATCTCCCGTATTGTATGAACTGTATCGTAGGTACTGCCGCCACATACCATATTTTTTCCGTGATTTTTAACCGAGATTTTGTCGCCATCGTCGCAGACAACGCCGAGAGCATTTGATCGACGTGTTCCAAATGCGGATAGTCGTGCTCGTCGCGCGGCACAGCGACGACAGCCGACAGCCATATCCTGATCGCTGCCAAATAATTGAGACGTGGCTCTGGCCTGATGTATCAGAATGCCCTTCTGTCCAAGAGGTTTCAATATATCGCGTGTTTTACTCTACTAGAGAAGGGTGATAGATCAATCACCCATACTAAGGTGAAGGCGCGACAGTAGCTAATCGAAAAGGTCCGGTGAAAACGCGCAAACGGGATATGCCGGCCAATCTCTAGGTCACCCTTAATCTGATTCCCAACATTTGAAATATTCAGGATCACTCACCCTGTGTCAGTAAACTTTTTCTGTAATAGCTTCGTGAAGGCTGCCCGAAGATCATCATAGCCAATCTTGACAAGTATTTCCTCCAGTTCCTTACGCCGATCGTAACACGGATTGGGAGCATCCATGCATCGTGCCAAGAGCTGAAAGGCTGCGGTAGATCTAGAGGACACCAGCCGCCACAATACGTTTTTAAAACAGGCTGCAAAGAACTGCCGTGTACTTGTGTGCCACTTTGAGTGGAATATTATCTGAAAACGATAAAAATCAGAATGTATCATCCTTGGAGTGTAATCCTGACCCAGGTCCGGAAGGTGTCCGGGGCAAGTGATTCCATGGCCTCCTCCACACCTAGTCCCATGCTCTGTCGGGCCGCCTCGGATGCTAACTCAGCATGGCCATGTCTCATTGCATAGTCGAGAACCTGAAGTGGATGGTCCCTGACCGAATTTCTGTGTGCATTTCAATTCTCCGCACATTGGTAAACTATTCTGAGGACTTACACCATCTTCTCCCGGCACGGAGTCAACGCAGAATAGACCCAATATTTCTCTGCCGCCTCAGCCAAACCAGAAGCAACCTTGAAGTCCACATCTCGGAGATCGGGTGGCAATTGTCGGTGCATGTACTGAAACAAGAGGTCAAGCACTTCGGAGGTCTCTGAGAGGGTTACAACGTCGTCTCCGGGGTCCACACTGGTCATATTTCCTGCGTCCGCGAAGATGTCGGAATGGACTTCGAGATTTTTGCGGTGGACTTTAAAGAGCATGCCGTCCGACGATGAGATCGTGATATTCGCATCGGCGGCGCAAACTGGGTGGAAAGGGTATCAGATAGGTTCATAACACCGTGGACGACCTCATACATCGCTCCGATACACGAGAGGTTGCCATAAGCTTAGGATACGATCGAGGAGTGTGGGCCGCCGTGACAGAAATAGAAGCCAAATAGAAGCCCCGTAATGCCGAGTGGCGTTCCGGTAATCCGTTCTTGATGGTCGGGACATATCTCAAGATGGTAAATCTTTGTAAATAATTATATTGGATGGATGGTGTAATTGGAGGAGAGGAACTGAATTGCATCAACAATTGGAACAGTTGCGAACAGTGCTTGTTGTTGGAGTTCAACTCCAATGGAAAGGAACAGAAAAAGGTGCAACGGTAGACAAGCGCATACTAACGGCCTGGTCCCGAGTC